GCGGCCGCCCTCCTCCATGGCCGGTCCCTCTCCACAGTGACTCCTGTCATCTCGCGGCCTCTCTGACACTGCTGCTGCTCACGGCGCCTTCCCTGGGCGCCCGCATCGCAGGTGTGCCAGGCCCCTCGGTGTCTGCAGCCCGGCACCTGTCCCGGTCCGGAATGACGCTGTTTCTGTTTATTGAAGGTCAGGACCATGTCAGCTTTTAAAAAAACATTTTTAAACAGTTTATCTTTCGGCCCTCCCTGGGGGCGCACAGGGTTAGGACGCAGCACTGCAGGCTGGCCGCAGCCGCTTCAGCGCGAGCTCGACCCCCGCCCGCCCCGGAGGGGACCCCCAGGGCGCCCCAGACCTCCCCCGACCCGCCCGCGGCTCCCCTCAGCTGCGTGGCCCGTTCTGCTCCCCGCTCTGTCTCTGGTGGATTCTCTCATCGCCCCTGCGCCTCTTCGTCTGCGCCCCAGTTCCGTGCGCACGAATAAAAGTCTTTAAACAAAAAGTTTACCGTTCGCCATCAGTTTTGCCAACACATGGCCTCGGCAGGCCCTGACACCGTGAGTGAGTGAGTGGCGAAGGCTGAGTCACAGCAGCTGGGGGCTGGGGCCTGACAACCGGGGACAGTGAAAGGCAGACAGGTCACGCCTCAGGCTCGCCTGACCTGAGCCCGCTCGCGGGGCCTGTGCGGGCGGGAGCTGCTCCGGGGGCCCCGAGGGTCATCACCCCCAGGGATCGGGGGTGCGGCCAAGGGGGCCCAGAGAGCTCTGTTCGCTCTGGCCGACGGCGCCAGGCCTGTGGTTGCGGCCAAGGTCACTTTCACAAGTTCGTGGCCCCGAGTCGGCCCTGTGAGTCAGCCTGAGGCCGGAAACCAGCACACGATGGCGTGTGGTCTCGCCCGGCGCGAGGGGGGCTTTCCGGGGTGCGCTCACCGGGGAGGCGCCTCGTCAGCAGCCGGGGTCCCCGTGCTCGGGCCGCCTCTGCGCTCGGGTCCTGAGCGGCCAGGGGACCCCTGCCGGTGACGGGAGGGCCACGCGCCAAGCAGACGGGATTCGCTGGGCCTGGCTTGGTTCAGGGGTGCTCAGGGCACCTGTGCCTTCCCCTGCTCTCACCACCCGCGGGAGGGCCGCACCCTGGAGGGGCGCGGGGCTGGTCTCCTGGGTCCGAGGAGGCAGCTGACACCCAGGATGGGGCCTTGCTGGCCAGCCGGGCCTGACCGCCGTGACCGGAGCCGGGTCTGGCTCGGGCCGACGCCGTGGCCCTTCCCGGCTGGCGAGCGAGCAGGAGGGACGATCTGGAAAAGCAAAGCGGAAGCGAAACCAGGCCCCACCCAGGCCCCACCCAGGGGGTGGTGGGGGGCACAGAGGATCGCT